TAGTAACAAAAGTTTTTTATATAAAACTAATAAAATCATAAACATTTATGTTGGAATTATTTACTTTAACAATAAGTGGATTATTACAATTTATTAAATATATGAGATAATTCTAAACAAATTTAATTTAGATACCTATATTAGATATCTTGTTCAACCAGAGTTAGTAATTTTTGGTAAAAGAATGCAGTAAAACTGAGAATATAATAAATAAATCAGACAAATATAAATACTTTACATTTATAAAGTGAAAAAGTCTCTCAAAAATCCTAATTAAACTTAATTTTCAAAGAGTATCACTGAAACTAAGTTGAATACTTTAGGTTTAAGTTGATTAAAGTTAGAATCAATTTAATAGGAAAAAGCTTAAATACACAATAACGATAATTTATTTACTGAAAATGACATTAATGCAGAACAGCGTTAATTTGAAGTTATATTTTTTTTTCAAATCTAAGTTGACCAAAACTGATTAAACGAATAAGCATTCCCTATACATCTCAACTCATCCAACTCATAATTTAAATATATGTTCACTAAAATAAGATTAAGTTTTAAAATAAAGTAAAAATAAACTCATAATGATATATAACGAAAATAGAGGAAATTAAATAGGACACTCCCCTGCCTATATTTAAATATTTAATAATTTTTAAATTAACCGCATTGTTTAGTACTCATATTCATTAAAATTTTTGTTTTTCAGCTATAACATATAAATAAGATAAATTGAACATATAAATTTAAGAATTGATTTTGATAAAAAATTCAATTTAATGTAAATTTCTTTTATGTAAAATTCGTTGAATTAAGAGATCGAGAAGGATCTAAAATTCTCTCATCTATTATATTATTCCAAAATTTATTGGGCATTAATTTTTTGAACTTTTTACTTGAAAAAAACATAAAATGATATTAAAAAATTTAAAGTTTATGATTGATTTATCAGATTTGTTTAGATTGATAGGTGAAGCTCCTACTGCCCATTGAATTTTTTTAGAAAAACCCTTTAATCCTAATTTAGACCTATAACAATCTAGAGCGCATTTCAAAAATTCTTAGAATCAATATCAAATGAATAGTGGCAGGTATTATTATTCTTTCGCAATATATTATAAATATCTATCCATTATTCTGATCGATATTAGAGAGTTTTTCCTACGTCAGATATATAGGCAAATCAAATAATTGGAGGAGTAGAGGTAATTTAATAAGGATTAAATATGCAATTTTGCTAATTATAAAATTTTACATCTTAATGAATTAACTAACTACAAATAATAATTTTTTTAATTACTAACTGCTTATCCTCTTGTTAATCTAAAATGATGCCTAAAATATATTACTACTTCCTTGAATGAAGCTTCATAAGCATTCATCTTAATAAGTGGACAAATATCTTGTAATTAATTGTCAAAAACTAAAGGAATATTTTCTTTTTATTAAGAATTATACAATTTAATTATAGTTTTATCACAAAAATTTCATTTTAAATCTCATAATTTCTTTGAAAAATTAAATAAAAATTTCATACTGACATATCTAATAAAGTGACCATGATATGTTCAATAAGTAAAGTTTTACTCTTCTCACTAAAACAGTTTAAGAGAAATAGATCTAAGAGTCCATATTTTTTAGCTTAACATAACCAGAAGATTTTTATGTTCAATCCAAATATAAATATAATTTCAATTTTCTTATTGTAGTTTAATTTTTTTATAAAAAGTTAAGATCACCTCTATCACCTTTACTATTTAGATATTAAGATGAGTTTCTCTCTATAATTTGACTTTGGAGTCAATATGCAAACTTTGTTAATGATCTTTGTCAAATTTGTTGATCAGCTAAATATGGAAAAATTCTTTGTTAAAATGGGAGGGAAAAACAGAGATCTTATTGCAGAAAAATTAAGATCAAAATAATCTGAACGATAAAGTCCATTTAAATGTAAAGGTACTTTTAATAAAATTCTTAATCTAGTTAGAAAATCCATTTTTTAATCACAATCTCATCAAAAATATACGTAATCTATAAAAAAATTCATCTCCAATTTCATCTAAAAGCATAAGAACAAAAACATAATCTAAACTCTCATTTCTCTAAATTATTGAAATCAAGCCAGCAACAACAAAAGAACAATAATTAAGAAGAGCATCTTCCTTTACATCAGCAAAATAAAAGCTCTTTAAGATACTTACAGAAAAATGAAATTACAGAATAATGTCAAGTTTTTATTTATTATTTAAAGTATTCTGTCTTTATAATTATATTTATAATATTTAATTATTATTAAATTAAATAAGCTTATCTATTTGAAAAATATCATTCTTATCACTTAAAGTTCTCTAATCTGATAAATTCATAAAATTTTTTCATTTAATGTATAAATAGATTTAAATTATTTCATTAGATAAATACTTGTATTTTATATTTTAAAGTCAA